AGAGAGAGAGACTTAAAACTACTAAGATTATAAAATGCTTATATATGGTAATCAGTGATTCAATATTAAAAAATTCAAGGTTTTTTCCAGTTTTTCAGGATTCAAAGTTTGTTCGTCACGCTGTTATATTTCCCACATAGCAAAGAACTGGTTCAGGACGTATTCGTAGGATTTTTGATAGTCTCAGGAACACTCCAGAATGGTCTTCACACACGCACGCACGCACGCACGCACGCACGCACGCATATATATTTTATATATATATATATATATATATATACACACACACAGGGTGTATAAAATGTCCCGGACTCCTTAAATATCTTGAAAAGTAATCATTTTTGAAAAAAAGGTTTTATACAAAAGATGTAGGGTTGAAAATGATCTATTGACTGACCTTATCAATTTGACCTTGGATGGTGTCACCAAGGTCAAATCGATTTTTTTAAACGAAATACTCTATTTTTGATTATAGAATCTAATAGCTGAGGTCGGGAGCTTTCCAAATATAATAAAGCCTCTTTTTAATCAGTACTTTTCAAGTTATAAGAGTTGAAAGTTACGGAACCGCCGCGGCATTAGCATTACCTAAGCTAAAATGATCGTATCCATTTTATTATTATATCTTTGTTTATTTGTTCTTGTCTTATTCTAGAGATATCAATTTTGCATGTGATACGTTAAAAATATGCTTTCTATTCAGAGATATAACTTGACGAAGTTCCAGATCCCAGTGGGATTTAGCCGAGAAAGTAATTAAAAACTGATAGGTAAGGCGAGTTGGGTTAAAGGAATGACAAATGCTCAAACGAATGACAGTTGATTTAGATATACCATTGTCTTTATTTCTAAAAAATTGATTGAAAAGTCTTGTCGCTTGCGTAAGACCTCCTATAACCACCCCATCCTCGCATCATTAAAATGGATACGATCATCTTAGCTTAATTAATGCTAATGCCGCGGCGGTTCCGTAACTTTCAACTCTCATAACTTGAAAAGTACTGATTAAAAAGAGGCTTTATTATAGTGTTTTGGAAAGCTCCTGACCTCAGCTATTAGATTCTAGAATAAAAAAATAGGGTATTTCGTTTAAAAATATCAATTTGACCTTGACTTGACCTTGGTGACACCATCTAAGGTCAAATTGATAAGGTCAGTCAATAGATCATTTTCAATCCTACATCTTTTGTATAAAACATTTTTCTCAAAAATGATTACTTTTCAAGATATTTAAGGGGTCCGGGACTTTTTATACACTCTGTATAAATAATAACATAAAGATACTTAATAATATAAAAGGATATAACATTTTTAATAATATATTTTTTAGTATATATAATCATATATATGCATATTCAATTATATATATATATATATATATATATATATATATATAACATAATACTACTATAATAATAAAATTAATTAAAAAGAAATAGTATTTTTTAATATTTATAATGTATAATAATTGTTTCATAATTGTTTCAAATTATTTTAACTTTTATTTTAAAAGATTAAAAAGACTCAATACCTCTCTAAATTTTGTACATATATTAAAACATGTTTATCTTTACATATAAAGTGCTGTGTTTCTTGTTGTGTCCCTTCTTCAATATTTACATTGTTACGTGGCTGTGTTTCTTGTTGTGTCTCTTCTTCAATGTCTACATTGTTTTCCAAAATAGCTTTTTCCTCTTCAACTGTCCTTATATAAGATTTATAAGCATCAAGAAAAGATTGGTTTGTAACTGTTTTAGTCACTTCGTTATATTGTGGGTCGTCCACTTCATCATATAGTGGGTCGTCCACTTCATATTGTGGGTCGTCCACTTCATCATATTGTGGATCGTCCACTTCTTCTTCATCTAAAACCTTACTTGCATTAGACTGAGAATTATCTGTTTCATTTACGGTTAGCAAATTCCGATTTGGAATAGCATCAATTTTTAATCGTCTACGTTGTAAATTAATAAGATATGAATTTTCGTCAAAATGTAAATGGCAAATTTTACATCTTTTAATTTTTTCATCAGGTACATGCGACATAGATATTGCTTCCATCCATTTTTTCCTTAATTCCGTATCTTTTGGAAAATAATGACGAGGAGCTCTAGCACGAGATTTACAATATGGGACGACACATTTCCATGTTCCACTTGTTATTTTGGCCATTTTATTTTAAAATTTCAATGCTAAAAAAAATGTTATACAAATGTTTAACATTCAAGAAATGCATTCCGTTTCATACATAATGCATTATATTAAAGTGACCCTACATGGTCAATAATACTGTCAGTATTAACGAATACTGACAATATTACTCACCGTGTGTGATTGATATAGAATCTAATGGTGATTTATCAGAATCCATGTCACAGTATGTCACAGTGTAATAGATATAATTTAAAACTAAAGTGAAATATATTGTTAATAGTATTGATCATGTAAGATAGTAAAAATACTAAAAATATTACTGTATACTGATGAATATCAGTATTATTGATCAGTGATCAGTATTATTAACCATATAGGGTCACCTATATGTATCATTATATCCTTGTTGTTCACCAAACATTAAAGAAAACTAAAACGATACATCATGCGCATTATGCGTGATAATATAATCAATATGTACATACATACATATACTTAAATCAGAGCTGTTCAAGATCGGTGTTTTTTGGCTTGAAATTGAAATGTGTCGGTATTCATGCCTATTGTTGTTCCTACTCCTCACTTCATTGCTGTTTTGTCGTAGCGCGCGATGCTCAATCTCATGGATGACCCTAATTGACCCTAGTCCGAAATCGTTAAGTTTTTGACCTGTGTCTTTCACTAATGTTTAAAAGTATTCTGTTACAAATATTATACGATACTGTGGTAATTATTCAGTCTAGCTATCCCATATTAAAGAATCAATAAAATTAGACTTATTCGACGCGTTTTTGTATGAAACGAAAGAATCTGGCAAAAAAAAGCGTCACTCTGTCCTGTGAGCCGAGATATTAAGCGTTAAAGTTGATAACTATTGAGGTTAGGAAATCTGTCACTGCCGCAAAATACTGCGAGCATGCACCGCGATCACTTTTTTTGTGTTCTGTGACCTCATGCGAGTTATTGAGCGTTTAAGCGAGGAGCACAGACTCTTGCATAACGCATAACACGTAATGCATAAGAATATGTACCAATCGAAGTTCTCCGTTTCTTTCCCTTCCATGTAATAGAGAACTCTGGTTGGTTCAATTTCTTATGCCTTCTTCTTCTTCTTCTGTTTTTTGGCCACCGCAGCCTAGACAGGTTGGTACTGGGCCATTGAGTTCTGTGTAAATTGGGGTAATCGTAAGTGGGAGTGCTATTCACCGGCCACCTCGAACCGGGAGAGTAATGGATGATGCAATAAAAATGGTGAGGCGCCGCTTCAAACACTGGACGCCTGCGGCTACGGCGCTTCCACGCCGCACGGCCGCGCGCCAAGACGGATAAAGGGACTATCGAAATTGAAATACTATGGCACAGTCCAAGCCGGCAACGC